TTTTTTTTTTTTTTTTGGTTAAAGTTACCAGTCCCTACTATATTGTAGTTAAAAAGAGGGCCATATATATTAAACTTTCTTGAGAGAGGAGAAATCTCGAGATTTTCTGTTGGCTTTTGCTCTAGCAGTAAAATATTATGTACATGCAAATTCATATACGTATGTGTTTATGTGTTGTTCTAGAAAACTGTTGTTTCTATAAACTGTGGTTTATAGGAAAGAACAAAGGGTTAGAGCCTGAAGACTTGTTTGACTTATGATTTTGCTTATTTACTGTGATCTTGGAGAATTTACTTAACTCTTCTGAGATTCGACATTCTCATCCTAAAGTATTATAGTCATACCTACCTCCCAAGGTTGACACACAGTATATCAAAGAACCTTGTAAGTTTAACCAGCCTAAAAGTATAAGTATAAGGAACTGTACTTATACTGTGTACTTATACTGTGCTAGCTACACAGTCTCCCAAAGCAGAAGCGGGATCAGTAGGATAAAGCCCTTCTCCAGAGTTTGCTCTGAGAAAGCCAGGTTTAGAGGCTTGCCTATCTATAAAAGTACCGAAATAGTTCAGAGGTACAATCAAGTAGCACATAGAGCTTATATTTATTTCTACATCAGTAGCAAGCTCATCTCTTTTTTTCTTCTTCTTTTTTGAGTAAGAATTGAATACTATCTCCTGTAGATTTCTGTAGCTGCTTATCTCTTCTAGAGCCTACCTATACCAAGCCACTCCCCGAGCTCCTGTAGGCTGCTGAACTCTGCCATCTGACCCACGCCTTCCCACCTTGGCAGGGCCCGCTGAGTCGACCTTTCTCATAGTCTTGTTGCAAGTTACTCAGTTTATATTGTCTACCGCTGGTCTCCTGTTCTGTTCACAAATACATAGAATTTAATAGGTATTTGATTAAAAATGTTGATTAGCTGATCTGACAGATTAGTTTATGTTAAAATTTTAGTAGATTTTTAAAAACTTTACACCTTAAAAATGGGATCCTGTCCTAGAACGAATTCCTTGAGAACTGTGCTCTCTGGCTGCTGTCTTTGAACAGTGGATTTACCTTAAAGTTGGATTAAATGGTGCTAGTTTTTATTCACTTCCCAGGAGCATGGGAACATGAATAGGGAAGGTTATCAGAGAAAATATTAATGGGTTAGAAGCAGCAAAAGCAGGAGGGAGAAGGAGAGGAGAATCAGAGGAAGGGCCGCGAACTGGAAGAACGAACACAGGGGAGAGGAGAATGGGAAGGCGGAGGGAAAGACAGCGGAAGGCGGCAGAGATGAGCAGGGAGAGGGCAGGGAGAGGGTCGTGGAGTGAGGGTAAGTGCGGGGAGGAAAGTGAAGGCAGGGGACGTGGTGGTGGTCAGGGGTGGGGCGCCTTTGAAGCGAAAGAGAAAAGGGTAAAGAGGCGGCCGGATGGGAAGGTGCTGCAGACGGAGGGAGGGCGAGAAGGAAGAGAGAGAGGGGGAAGGAGGAGGCTGGTCTGGAGCAGGTCCCGGCTGGCCGCAGGCCCAGCACTCCCGCTCTGCCAAGCTGCCACCCACCTCCTGATTTTCCTCCTCGTCCTGGGCCTCGGGGGAAAGCAACCCATGAGGGAGTGTCCCATTTGGGTCCCACGACCGTTCCCTTCACTGCTTTAGTTTGTGCCTCTCTACTTCACTTAAATCATTTTGGAGAACAACGTCTTTCTGTTTCCATCAGATTATTCCTTCCGGGTGATAGTGCCTCCCCTCTGTTTTGACTGTCTTGTCTCTCCACCATCACTTGATGAATACCAGTGTAATGTGCACTGATTTGATACAAATTTAGGGGAAAAAGTTACTCTGTTATGGGTCTGTGCCAAAAAATTATATGTCACTCAAGGCTAAATAGAAATATTTTTGCATCCACCTTTTTTTTGTATCGTGTGGTCCAAGAGCATGGATCGGCCTGGAACCCCTAATGGCCTTCTTATATTAATTCACTATCCTAGGCAAGTATCATGAATGAACTCTGTAAGAATGTTCCACTCTTTATATGTAGAGCTTTCACTATAGGCCTGGAGGTGATACTCTAATTGGGCTTTTGAAATCAACTGATGGTTCATTTTCTCCCCTCAGAATTTTAATTCTTGTGACTTAACAGTTCAGTAGGTGAGTGAAGCCACAGGCTCACTAGAGTAATTATCCGTTCTTATTTATCACAAAGATTTTCTGAAACAGTGTTTCTCAAATTATTTATTATAACATCAAACTGAGTCAGCCTTCCTCTGCAAAAAGCACAGAACTTCAAAATACAAAAAGGCAAAGGTTTTGGGGCAACTTCAATGTAGCAAAATATTAGACTTTTTAATAGATTTAGAATAGACTTCCTCTGCAAGATTATTGTAACTCCTAACAACCTATTCATTCTCAGATTTCATACGGTGAGAGTTTTCCTTATTCCTGACATGGTTTTGTGATAAACTTTCTTGGTGATCACTAACATCCATATGTATAAACACATCAATGCAGAACAGCTGAGCTGTTATACATCTGCTGCTTTCTTAAGCATCCCTTCTATTTAAAAACAAGCAATTTTTTTATTTGCAAAGTTAAGATCATGATGAAGAATATTTTTAAATGAAATATATGTAAGTGAAATAGTTAGAAAAACTTACTTAGTCAGTTTCCTCTTCTTTAAACCATTTTTACTCCTGAGAATTTAAAAAAAGACAAATTTATCTGGACACAAGAATTAATGTATGGTTAAACTTGGAGAGTGCTTAACAATTACATCAGGCACCTCAATTTTATTTCATTTTTATTAAATGTGCCTCAGGTTTGTTTAATTACTTGTCCTTAAGTGAGAAGATAATGATAATTTCAGATTCATTTTTTAAGGCTGTATTAGATTTTGGGAACATACCTGCACTTCACATTTCATAACTGCCAAAACCTGAATTCTAGAAATATAATTTCTTGCCCTAGTGATTAAGTTGCTGAATATTTTGTAAATATATAGAAGTATCTACTGCCTGAATATGTTAGGTTCTTCAGGCATGAAGGAAAGAATTAGGGAATAAAGATGAGAACTCAGGATGGAGAGTAGATATGTTGGTTTCTTAATTAAATATTAAAATAACCATTTTGGACATTTTCATTGAGTGTGTGAATTTGTGCTATCAGCGTTGGTACACAGCATATGTAATTCTACTACGCATTGTTCCTCTTCAATTTTGACCTAGTTTCAAAGCTAACTGAAGAATTGTCCCTATAATGTCCTTGTTCTTAATTCATTACCAGTCTGTCAACTCAAACACATGCAATATTAATGTATGCTTCAGTTAATTACATTTTAAGGGGTTATTTAGGGTAATTGTTTTCAACCAACAAGTAAGATAACTGACTCAAGCTAGCTAATGAATAGTATTTGCCGAAACACCTCATTATTGTTTTTTTATTCTTATATAGGTGATACCTATTGGTACATGATTGAATGTGAGTGACAATTTCTATAATTTTCCAAGTTCTTTAAAGACTAATGGAAACACCTATAGCAATTAACCAGTTGTGCTCTGAGTATTCTCATGTGCCAAAATGTTTATTTATATTGAACATTATGAATGTTCGGGCACGTCTATTTCTGGAGCCTTTACTCCCTCTGCTCTCAGGGCCTTTGGCTCATGGCATGTTTCTCACATTGCTGTCAGTTGCATACGTGCTCCTTGCTAGACTGTCCTTTGCCCCCAGGGCTGAGCACAGTTAATGAAATACATCCTGGGTGGTCAATAGATGCTTATTTAATTGAATAAAAAAAACAGCTTTGCTATGATACCTTCATGATCTTACTTAATGATGCAATTAAGAATTTGACACTAGACTTGGGCTCATGAGATGCCACTGGGGAGATGGGACTTGTGAATGAGAGGAAATGACGCAGAGTAGGAAGTGTAAGGAAATAGCCATAAAGGCATGTGGTATTTCTGGTTCTCATTCTCTGGTTTCAGGAGTTTTTATTTCTTCCCAGTTCTGAGGGATGATGATTCAGTCAATAATTCCTCTCCTATTTTTTTCTTCCTTAAGCTCTTTGTCTTCCATGCTTGGGACTTAGAGGCAATAGGCGTTCCGGTTTTTACTTTGCCTGTCCCTTATCCCCTCAGAAAAACACTGTAATATTGGGCAGAGCTGTATCATTTAGACATTCGGGAACCTAACGAAATACCTCTTGAATAATTTTTTGCTCAGCTCCTGTGATGGCAATGAGTCATCTTTAGGAATCACACATTCACTTCATGTAGTAAGAATCAAATACTTCAGTGCTTCATAAAAGCAGAATGTTAGCTAACAGTTCTGGCTAAGTCAAGAGGCTGCCAACGTACTTTGTGATTGGGAGTGAAATTTAAATTACAAGAAAAAACCTCTCCTATCCAAACAGATTTTAAGGAAAACAGGGAAGAAATGAATGTATGTGGGAGGGTGACACTGAATAAATTCAGTGCTGAAATACTAAGTTGCTACTATTCAACAGCTGTGTGGAAGCCTGATTCATGGAAAAGAGGCCCTCCTTTTTTCCTTTTAATCTCATTCATTTGTTGAATGAACTTTAAGTATAATACAAAATTCTGCACATGTTTCATGATTTATTGTCCTAAGTGTATGTCTTCATGATTTGTGTTTGACTTCATTGTTCTGCTTAGACTTTTCCTGAATTCTTGAAGATGCCCAAAGGGTTTTCATTTCTGAAGGCTGTGGGGCATGATAGGACTGAATTATGAAACTCCACGGCAACACTGAAAGAATTTTCATACATTGTCAATTGTTGTGCTGATTCTACAACTAACATCAGAGGGAAATTCACTTATAAACATGTGAGTTAAGGTTCTGCTAGCAGTTTTAAGTTCAGCACACAATAGAAAGAGCTGATGTGTGTGCCTGTTAAAGTGAACATTTTGAGTGATGCTTAGGGTGTCGTGTTGTCATACAAAATATTTTCTGAATATCTGATAAATAACACCCATCAGACATGCACTGTACACGTGTACAGGATCATGCACTCTTTTTAATTTTTCTATTTCATTTATATTAGGTAAATTCAAAAACCCTAAGGATTTCAAGAAGTTAAGATTCATTCCGCATAAGTTATTCATGTTTGTGACAATCTTGGAAAGCTGGCCAGACTGGAATTCATTCCAGAGAGGAGTGTGAGGTAATGCAGAGACATGGTATTTATCATGGTTAAAACAAAACAAAACAGAAACTCAAAAGACTCCAGATCTAGTCTCCAATGTCCTAACTGCTACTTCCTCTTTCATGAGCTAATTAGAAATCATCACCAAATCTTAAAAATGTCTTTAGTGTTATATCATTCGTTGAATAGAATATGCGATAGTCACGAGTAATGCTGAGCAGTTTAAACTGATTGTTGCTTAAAATGTCAACTGTTGAGTATTTACAATAGGAAGATGAACCCTTGGATAGAGAATGAGGTGACTGTGATTGTAGAAAAAAGAGAGTAACAATACTGACTCCAGATAGAGCTAGTCCAAAGGACATGATTTTCTTTGACTGGGAAACATGACCTGGGATCACTGAAGTCAGAAATCCTGGCAGAATACAATTCTGAGATGAAGCTAGTTGGGCAACTGGCTCTATCCTGATTCTGCTGCCACTCCGGGGAAAAGATTGGAGTGACACGGCGAGGAGTCTCTTGATTCCCATACAAACCACCAGAGGCATCAGAAAGATTTTAGAAAATCAACAGGACCATATATTTCTCAGAGATAAATATCGGAGTGGACAGTTTGGAGAAGCAGCTGGGATGTGTTAGGAAGGGCATGGGTGGCTCTGTTATTTGTGGTAGTTCTTAACAGAGTAGGTGAAATATGAAGCCAAACACATCTGAAGGAGGATTAAAATTGACTAGCAAATGAAAATGGGAAAATAGCTATGAGTTATTAAATGAAAAGAAAAGTAGTAAACAGTAGGGAATTCAGGTGGCTTTGTGAGTACTGAGCTGGACTTGAGTTTTACTTCTTTTATATCTAGCATTGCACATGCATAGGAATGAAAATACAGTTTATAATCAGTATATTCTCCCTGTTTGATATGTGTGTTGTTTACTAAAAGTGACAGAAAGCATGGGACTCCAGGTTTTGCCTCCTATTCTCAGTTGGAAACGATCATTTAGAGTCTCAGGGGCATTCTTCTAAAAACAACTGAAGGGATTTCTCCCCCCTTAACCTGGGTCTCATGCTACTTGATCAGTACTATAAATAGTGGACCCTGAAGGGGTTGCCGAAATTTGAAGATGTGCTCATCAAGGGGACCTATTAAGAAAGACATGCAAATAGCATAGGCCAATATAAGCTTAAAATGAACTGTGGAAAATGAGCGAGAATTAAGCAGGGATGTGAATATATTATATGCATTTTTCTTTCTGTTTTAATTGAAATCTGTGGAGGGTACTTTAAGAATATTTGCTACAAGTACTCTAATGGTAGGTAGAATACTTGAGGATGATTAGTAAATGTTGACTTAAAAGTAAATGTATATTTTGAAGGTCAAAATGGAATTTATGTGCACTGTTCATATCCAAAAATACCTGATGTTAAATACCTAAAACATTGCGTTGATTATGCCTTATACTGAAAATTATTACAAACAAGCTTAGAATAACATTGCAGGGGTCCTTGTTATCTAGTACCTTCCTGATTGTGCTACTTATACATCAGTGTCTACCATGTTTCAAAGGTTTCCCTCTAGTTTCTTTTTAAAGAAAATATAAATTCTGGTATTAACAATTTCTATTGTGAGGAAGTCCATTTATTTGTATTTCTTCCATTGCAATTTGAAGGCCTAAACTTGGCCAGCTGTATTTATTCTGTCCTCAGAGGAGCTAAAGAACCTTTGTTCAATTGTGTTTCTAAGTAAATGACTCTACAAATTGCTTTCATCTTTCACTCTCCCCACTCCCACCCTCCACCACGGGCCATTTTTTCTAGTCCATTAACTATTTTTTATAGCTTTTTTTTCTGAGTCCTTCTGAAGTTGTCCACCTATCTGGATCGGTCTGTACATAATGCAGTGCCTAAATACCATGGACTAATACTTAAGGACAATTTTCTTTCATCAGTTCTTTGAAAAACTGTTACCTTTTTTCTTATGGCTTAGGGAAGGAACCAGTCCTGCTATATACAGTCACAGAATTCAAGACTGCTATTAGTATGTTTTATAAAAACTGAAAAGGATACTCTTTGAGATTTGATTATTCAAATGAACTAAAAGTCACGAAAATTAGAATTTAAAGGAGGCTGCTTTTTTACAGAGGAAAGAATAGACCTGGATTTTCTATTTTAAGAGACCTGGGTTTTCTACTTATAGTATGCTAAGATAATTAATCTCATTCAGCCTCTATTTCCACATCTCTAAAAAGGGGTAGATAATACTCTCTGAAGAGCTGTAAGAACAATTAAATAGGATAATTGTACAAAGAAGTTTGTTTAGAGTCAGTTGTTCAATATTCATTGAGCTAGCATTATTATAAAAACATGGAGGCCCTAAATATAAAGTATAGTATTCTGGGCTTCTCTACTTTAATGCATTTCCTTCCTTCTTGGAAATATGGAGCTCTCTAATGGATAGAGATGGTAAGGGAATGGAAAGCATCATTGACAGAGATGAAAGCCCAGTGGATTGACTCAATGAAGAAACAAATGACTAGTAGTAAATGGAAGAAAAATTTGCTGAGAACATCACAAGAAGAAAATTTAACTGGGAAGACATTATTGGTAGCATTTTCATACCATTAACTGCTTTAATCCATTTCAATACATGATTAATTATTTGAGATGCTGCCGAACACATAAAATAATTTTAAAAGAAATTTTCCTTTTGGTTTACTTCATTAAAGCTAACTTTTAAAGACCTGTGTTAAGTAAACAGTAAAAAAAAAAAAATCACTTACCAAGGATTAATATAAAATGCCAAAAGATAATCAGTCCAAAGACATGAGGGTAGCAGGGTTAAGAAAGCAAATATACTCCTACGCCTGTGGGCATTAATAGATAACAGATGCAAAGATGAAAAAGGGGCAAGAGTTAGTAATAGAAACTGTGAACAGATATCAGTGAATTACCTACTGGGATCAATTAAAATGACAAACACCTTAATTACCATTGAATATTATTCCATTCTGTGAAATTTAAACGTAAGAGTCTAAGTGCTATATTATTGCCAAAATCAGTTGCATTCACACAGGTCCTTATTGTAATCAGATCTATTTCTCTCAACTTATTTTGTGTCAATTAGTCTGCTATTAAGTGATTACATTTTACATTCAGTTAAATGAGGCCCTTAAATGCCACCTCATCAGTTATCTTGAGTCTTACTCTGGGATATTACTCTTGAAATGCTTAGGCCTATTTTAAGAAACCGTTACATCACTTGATAGCTAACAGCAGCTTGTGTGCAGAGACATAGATGGTCAGCTTTATATCAATTCTGGCAAAGACTCTAAGCCTTTGGGACACAATCTTATAAAGCTGCCAGGTGTGAGTGTCTAGATTATTTTTGGTTTAAATTAATATGTACTTCCTAAAAAAATAATCTTTAAAACAGAGGTATGGGTATGACACTCAGAATTATCCATTCAAGATAAGTAACCCATCAACTGCCTACTTTGGAATCTCACTGATACTCAGTTGAGTGGGAGCAAAATTATTTAGCTTTAATCCGAATTCAGAGAGTCGATTTAAAAAGCCAGATTTCACTCCAATTTCAAATAGTCAAACCACTTATAAAACAGAGCATTCATTCATGCAGACTTAAAAATATCTTATGGCTGCATTTGTAGGTATTCTGAGAATCAGGGGGAAAATATTGCCACCTTGTCACTTCTATGATTACAAATCCCCGCTGTGACATCTGTTCCCAGCCAGCCAGAAAATGCTGGTGTTGGCAAAATTGCCTTTGCCAAGAGCTGCAGGAGAATTCTCTTGATTTTATGGAAAGGTCCTAAAGGGAATTCTGTTTTGTCTCAGCTGTCCTGTAACTGGTCTGCCATGCCTTGCCAATTGGGAATGGTTGTGTGGTTAGTTAATACTCTCCTGAGTCACTAGTATAATTGGATCCATTCCTGGATGAGCCACTCATCACTGCTCTGTGGCTGGCACTTTCTTAAGGGTGAGCCAGGCAAGGACAGATACTAGGGAATTAGTGTCTTCATCTTGGAAAGAGCACTACTGTATTTGAACAAGCCTACAAGGAATGTTTGCTAACTCTTCACCAACAAGCGTTTCTGGGTTTCTTTCTTCCCAGTTGAATGAGTTGTATTTTCATAGTAAAATTCCTTTCAGGTTAAAATGTTAAAATTGTACAATGCATTGTCTTGTTCCAAAAAATCCTATCTCATTTCAAATAGACTTTCGACTAATGTGGGCATCCACTAGGTGCTCACTCAGGGAAGTAGAATTTATATTTTAAATAAAGCCCTTCCTCCCTCATTGATTCTGCAGAGTAAAATTTCCAGTCTCACCTATTTCTTTAAGGTTAACCATTTTCAGGGATTAGGAAAGCAGGAAAAAAAGATCATTTGCCAAGGATTAAAATGAAATGAGTATATTTAAATGTGCTTGGCATAGTTGCTTCTTGCAAAAGAAACAAACTAGATTGTGTTAGTAGTGCTGGCTTCGTAGTAAATGTTTACTTAATTGGCAGTTTTGTTAGGTATGGACAGCAGTGTATAAAATCGTTAATCCCCATGTGTCATTGTTAGGTATAATGCCAACCAACTGAATCTCCCGACAATTCTTTCTTAATTCTCAAAATACCTCCTTCCTGCAGATCTCTTAATACTCAAGCATAAGGGAAAATGAGGCCATGTTTTCTCATGGAACTTTCCCGACCTTGACATTTATTTACTATAAGTATAAAAGGTGAGAGCCCTGGGCTGTTCATTTCTACTTGATTTCTGGACAGCTGTGGTGGCTCGTATCCCCAGGCCCTGAGATGGGAGTGTCAAATAGAGACGCTTCTGCGTCACAGGCTGCTTCAGTGCCGCCTCTCCTAGGGCCGTCAGCCACCACGTGCTCTGGGTGGCTTCTGCGTTTAAGCCCTTCTGCATGGTTACGGGTTAGCTGCATGACTGCTTTAGTTCTTTGTTTAATATAGTGAATACAGAGCAGATTTTTCTTTACTTTGGAATTGCATTAAATGTATATGAACTAATATATTCTGTGAAGAAGATCTAACTTTTGAAAAGTCTGCTATCACCAAACATAGGAGAGGAGAATCAGACAAAAACCAGTCATCCCCAATAGATAGTAAATAAAGTTTGGAGCACATACAACATAGCTAAGCTATCTAGGGGTGTGTTCCAAAACAATACTCACCAGTTGTAAGGAAGCTTCCCATCTCTCTCCAAAGACGCAAAATTGACAAAAGTGCCCGCTCCACACTCCCTGTTTGAAAGGACCCCAAATTCAAGGTTACCGCATGATGGAGCACTCTTTAACCTTGACATAAAAGAGAGTCTTCACTGGCTGTCATTGCAGCATTAAATAATAATAATAATAATAATAACAATAATAATAATAATAATAATAAAGCTAGTATAAGTTCTCTGTGTTCCCTTTTGCATACAATGCAAAAAAGATAAAACAAAACAAAACAATTTCTCACAAGGTCACACACACCCAACTCAAGTTTTTTGAGGCCAAAAGGATTCAGTTCACAATTCTTTCCAAAGGGCACTCATGATCCTAACATAAATCTTTGAATTATTTTGGGCGTAGTATTTTTACAAAGCCTTCAATAGTAAGGTATAGAAACTCTCCTAGATAAACTGAGGGTTTTCCATTTTTAGCAAATACTGCTTTTTTTAATAGTATTTTGATTTCCTCTCCATAATGATGGCAGATCAAACTTGGTAGTTTTCTTTCTCCAAAATTTTTTCCTCATGTTGTGGAAAACACAATTTTTTCATGGTATTCATCATTCGAGATAAGAGTATTAAAATGAATTGGCTTTTGTAGTGCCTCTTATCCACAAGGCTGCTTATTATTGTGCCAGTAAAAAATGTTGTTAAAATTTATTTTTCCAGAAATGGAGGAAAACAGTAAACATATTCTCATGCCCTTTTCACCTTTTCCCAATATCACACATGTATCCCATAGCTTGCTGAGGCTCATGCATCTCATTTTTCCCTCTTATGAAATTGATGGACTTACTCAGAATGGAAGCAGGAGTTTTGACATTATTAGCACAATGTGCCAATTACCTCAGTTATCTGCCTGAGGCTGTTTTATCACAGTGACCTTGAGAGTAATTTTCTTCTTTGAAAGTAGTTTTCTTCTTTGAAAAATACACTAATATATTTACATAATGTCATTATGGATTACATCTCCTCAATTCATTTTTCTATGTAAATTTCCTGTAATGGAATTTATTTTACCCTCTCATTCAAAGGTTCTTAATCTGGGGTTCAAGGATAGAATTTAGGGCTCTATGAACATGTGGGAACAACCTCTGAATGGAATATAGGTGGCTCTTTCAATTATTTAAGTAGGCAACAAGCCTCAATAATACCATCAGTACTTGTGAGATTTACTAACAATAAAATTTGCAAATATTTTTCTACAATGGACCACTGCAGATACTGAAATATTGTTCATATTCATTGCTGTGGTGAAATTATGGGAGTGATTAGCCACCCTATTAAACATTATTATCTAATGTATTAAATTAAAAAGCATATAACACTCTTCTTTAAGTACTTTGATTACCATACTTTAATATAATATCCTTTTTAATCCTTTGTATTTTTTTCTATGCATTTGAAAAGAAAGTATTCTCGGAAGAGATTCTCCAGCTTCATCAGATCACCAGACAGGATCACGGCACAAAAATGGTAAGAATTTCTGTTCTAATGACCAGCTGGCTGAAGTAAACCTATCTTCATAAGTATCGTGCTATACGCATGACGAAGAATCCTGATGCAATAACATCCTAACAAATACCACCACTTCCATTACTACAACTATTCCCACCTTTCGCTGTTACAATAATGAGCTACTGTTCACTGCATACTTTCCGTGATGCTCTGCTAGTAATGTGTTCTTGCTCCCAAGTATCCAGTAATGTGGGGCTATTGTTATCCCTTCTTTTTGTACATTCTTCCCCCTGCTTCCAGGCTGCCACACTCCCAGTATTGTTCCTACTCTGCTGAATGGCTCCTGTTGGTCTCTTTTGAAGTGATTTATTTCTCTCCCTGAAAATCTTAATATTAGATTCTTCTGGTGCTTAATTCAGAGCTCTCTCCTCTAATTTACATTTTTTTCCCCTGGATTTTGTCTGGTCTATAGCATCAATACCTTTTACATGCTAATGACTCCCAAATTTGTATCTTGGATCCAGGCTTCTCTCCTGCACACCAGGCTTTTATGTTCAGCTGTCCACTCCACAGCTGTTCTTGCAGTCATCCTGAACTTAACATTTCCAAACCTGAAGTCTTGATATTCCCCCAATTCTGAAGTAAGGACTTTTATTGTAAGGAATCCTATTGCAAAAGATGGCAACCCCATCCTTTCACTTTGCTAAGGCCAAAAGCCTTGGAATTATCCTTGATGCTGATTCATTGCCTTTTCCACATGCAATTTGTTAGCAAATACCTCTGTTTTCAAAGTATGTCTAGAATCTGATCATTTCCCCCTCTATCCACTACTATTTCTCTGGATTGAACCACCATCTCTTGCCTGGATTACTGTAATGGCTCCCCTAGTTAATATGCCCTCTATTGTTCTTGCTCCATATATACTATTCTCTATATAAAAGTCAAAATGAAAATGTTAAGATGTAAGTCAGATCTTCTGCCCTAAACCCTGCACTGGCTGCCTTTTACTCAAAGTAAAAGCCAAAGTCCTTACGATGGTGTATGAGGCCCTGTGTGATCTGATGTCATCTCCTGCTACCTGTCTTCATTTCCTTGGCTTTAGCTACACCAACCTCTGCTATTCTTTGAACATGCCAATCATGCTGCTGCCTCAGGGCCTTTGCACTAGCTATTCCCTCCCCTGGGCACACTCTTCCTCCAGATAACACATGAATAACTCTCTCATGTTCTTCAAATCTTTCCTCAAATGTCACCCTTTCAGTGACTCCCTACCCACCTCCTGAGATCTTCTCCCCATATACCCTCCGTACTTGTACTGCTTATCTCCCTTTCACTGCCCTAATATTTTTCTCTTCATGTCTGCTAACATACCAGCAATCTTTTTATTCTTGTCTATATTACTTATTGTCTATCTCCTCCACTAAAATACAAGCTCTACAAAAGTAAGTTTTTTTCTGCTTTTAATACTGCCAAATCCCAAGCACCTGGGGAAACTGACACACAGAAGGGTCCATTAATATTTGTGAAGTGAATGAATGAAGTTTCAGTGAATTACACCAGGACACAGAGGTTGTAAGTTATTATTTGACTCCAAGGAGTATAATTTCAGAACTCTGTACTCTATGCACAGTGCAGCACCACCTGCCTCCCGATCCTTCTAAGATCTGTTCAAATGTCAACATTCAAGAAGCTTGATTTGTATATCCAGATCTAGTCTCTTTTCTCTACTTTCCTTGTATCCCTTTTTTTTATCTCCTTTCTAGTACAGGTTAGTTTACACATTTACACATATTTGTTTATTTATTTGCATACCTTCAGCTAGGTTCCAAGTTCCTAGTGAGCCTCTTGGATGTCTAATTTTTCTGACTGAGCCCTATGAGGCACTGATCAAATCATGATTGGATAGATAATTGTATTTAACAACAGGAAAATGATAGAACTCTAAGAAAGAAGAAGGCTGTTGTTTGATAATTCAGCATATTAACATTAGGCAAATGTAAATTTGAACCTATTTCCCCAAACCCAGTAGGACTCAACTAAGGAACATAATTTTTAAGAGAATTGATGGCTTATTCTGATAAAATAGGAGACCACATAAAGTACTTGAGAATGTGTTCTGATAAGAAACTCGTCAGTGGTCAAAGGAATAGGGAATCACCAAAATCGTAAATCAAAAGGCTTTTCTAAGAAAATATGAAACCATCTACAACTCTAAAAAGTAGGAACAATAGGAAACCTTTAATGACCTAATGATAAACTCTACAAATATTTTGTGATAAAACAACTTCAACAGAACTAACAAGAGGGAATTTTTCTTTCTTGTAGTTTTCACATATATTACATCTTTTCATTAGTCATCCTGAGTAGGTAAAGATCTTTCTTTTACTCCAAAATATGTTGAGAAGTATCCAAATGTAATGAATGGATCCCTCTGTATTGGGCTCCTTAAAATGACAAGATTGACAATAAGAGGTCAGACATAGTATAAACAAGCAACCCTTTGCTTTGCCATTTCAATGGTAATGTTTTCTAAAATAATATTTTAAAGTCTACCTAGAAAACACATAAAATAGAAGTAGACACTGAACACTGAACTCTAGACACTGTTTAGGTCTGCAAAAGCATACATTATAAATTACAATATTTTCAAGGCTGTGGGTAAAAGATAGACAAACTGCACTTACCGAGCCATCTGCAGATGCTTTTTCCTAAGAATGATGAGTGTAACCAGCAGCAGTCCGATCAGCAGGGTGCTAAGGATGGCCAGCACGGAGATGACTACCACGTTGGGATTCATCTCAGCAACTTAAGAGATAAGCCATGTGTTATCATTGCAGCTTCCATTTCATGGAAACTAACAGAACCAGTCACTGTTTTCTATTTGATTTTAAGAGCCATGAATGTATGATGATGAAAATGAGAGTGTCAATGATGTTTCTCCAAGTTGACAATGGCCTCCTCCTGGTCAACTGTAATTTAGTCAAGTAGATTTATAAATGATATTCAGGTTCCTGGAAGAACCAAGTCCATCTCAAAGGCTTATATTCAGGATGTTCTTCTGAAGACAAACTATACATTGTGACTAATGCCTCTGCCATAGTTTAAATTCATTTGAAAACAAAATGTTTTTTCTACAAGTCATTATCATGTATTATCATTGTTTAAACTTTTCAGGGGCTTAGAGAATGTGAGGTTCTTACTTTATTCTCATGACTTTAAAGTCAGAAAGCACAACTGTGTATTTCTCTCACAACTAATAATGTATATGAGAAAGGCAGGAACAAGCTACCAGTTGCTGCAGCGCTAGCAGCAGGCATCCTGGTGATCTGTTGAGAGGTTTTCTGTCTGCACAGTGCAAGAGATAAAACCTATGAATAAGGTGTAAGGCCCCTAAGATCAGGGGTTGTGTCCCTTTCGTATACTTTACATAAGGTCTACTGCAGCACTTACCTATTGTGTAACTCATCACACTACATGGAAGCAGGATGTTGAAGGTAAGAATGTATGTCCAGTGTTTTTATAAACCTCTTTACAGTGGGCAGAGGAGGAGAATGATGCCATCCTCCACACTGATCATGAGGTCATGGCACTGGTTGGCGCATAAAATTCCTAAGACTGTGCATTTGCCACTTTCCATTAAGGACAGGTCAGCTCTAGCTCATAGGAAGGGTACTTGAACAGACCTCAGAAAGAAGCCTCAGATTTCTTTCTGAACATTAGCCTCAGAAAGAAGGGCTTTTCTGGTGAGAGAGCTTTTTCAAACTCACTTGACTACTAACTGCCATTTGGAGAAGTTATTTTATCTGTCTTTCTGGCCCTCATTTTCCTCACTTGCAAATCAGTTTAATATTATCATCTGTTCTACTGGGATTGCTATAATGATGACAAGGAATAGTGGACAGTTAAGAATATTTAGAAAAGGGTAAAAGGATATAGAAATGAGAGACCATTAACATACTGTTCAGGTCCAGTTTTGTCCTTTCTTCTGAAAAAACAAAAATTAAAAACAGGAAACCAAAAAAAAAAAGAAAGAAAAGAAGAAAAGAAAGGCCACTCCCATTGTCATTCAACATAGCAGCTAAATACATGACGAATGTTACAGAAGTGACAATGAATCCAGTAAAGGGATAATGTGACTGCAAGAATGGTTTTATTACAGGTAACTTCAGAGAGGGTTTCAGATCACAGAATCAGACTAACACAAAGGCAAGTAAAACACATGATGCAACTCAGAAAAAGGAATAAGGAAACAACATTATTCTAGACCTCTGGTTAATTTCTAATTCCCCACTTACACGTTCTGCTTGATTGGAAACTCTTTTGCTTTGAAAGTAATTTAGTATTGTCCTGATTTAATCAGTGACAGCTAAGGCTAAAGCTTAAGCAGACCTTTAGAAGGTCTCATGACTACGGCTGAAGAGGACAGTGGAGACGAGGGCATTGATGACTGCAGCGAGCTCAGCCAGTGGGCGCTGGAGCTTCATGTACTTTATTGCTAAGCTTCAAAACTACTCAACAAGGTACCTATCATGATTCTAGTTTTAGAGATGGAAAAACAAGCAGGCAGAGGTGGTACCATTCCCTAAATCACATAGCAAATAACATACAGGTTGGGACTGAAATGAAGGGCTCCCTGGTGCCCCTCAAGCTTGTACGTTTTCAATGGAACACTGGTTGCTTGAGTAAGAAAACAAGGAAAATATTGAAAGATGTTACTTTCAAAGATACCCGATTGCATGAATGCGTGTAATTACCCATTGTTGAGACGGCTATGAATGTGGGGACACTAGGGCTGTCGTGGCTGAAGCTGGTGACACTACAGTTGTAAGCAGTGGCAGGGAGGAGGCGGGAGATGGTCACAACGTGAGAAGAAACAGAAATTGGTTCCTGGAGATGCAGAAATAAGATAAATGTTATGATCTTCATCGGTTTTGTCTTTGAAAATATTTTTCATAGTAGAGTAGTTAATATATGGACAGAGTGCAAAATTTAAAAGATGACAAAGGAGAGCAGGGAAAAATAAACATCATCCTTTCTCTACTTCCTATCCACCCAGTTTTCTTCCACAGAAGCAGCCATTGCTGTAAGGTCTTTTGTTTTCTCCCCTTTTTATTTTATAGATGTATAAACCTATAAAATATAGTAAAATAAACCTAAATGATAGTCTACACATTATTCTGCTTACTTTTTTTAACCTTGGTTATCAGTATATCTTGGCACTCTTTCCATACCAGTACTGGTGAAACTTTTATTCTTTTTAAAGGCTACATAACAATCCATTGAAAGGACATATTGTACTTCACCAGTCCCCTGTTGATGAATGTTTAAGTGGTCTCTGGTTATTTGCTATTACAAACAGTGTTACAGTGAGCATAATTTCACAATTATTCAAACAAATGTACGTGTATACACACAATCTGTTTAAACACTTTACATTCATATACAAAACGTATGTGTACGTGTACATACATGTGTGAACATAGGTATATATACAGTCATATTCCTAGCAGTGTTCTGAATTGCTGGGTCAAAAAGTTGTGTATTTTTAATTTTCAAAGCTATTGGCAAATTGTCTTCCATAGAGATTTTCCAAGTTATCTACCTACCATCGCTGTGTGACAATGCCTGTTTCCCTACATGCCTTCCAATGTATGTGTAAGTTCTTTGAGGGTTTCCAATCCCTAGTGGAAATTGTACCTCACTGTAGTTTTATTTTGAATTTCTTTCATCACCTGGTCATCTTTTCATATGTTTAAGAGGCTTTGGTGTTTATTTTCTGTAAAAGATTTGGATCAGTCTTCATTTTTTTATTTGTGGTAGTTCTAATGGACGCTACCCTCTTTGTCTGCATTCTCAGCTTTTAAATAGCATCCCCCAAATGCATAGGGACTTTGTGTTCTCAAAAACATTAAATATTATCCTATTCTTTAGTAGAACAAGTTGTGAATTTGGTGGGCTGCTGGTAAGACTAGTGACAAGTATAACTACAGAATATAAAAAGTTGAGCTAGCATAACACCCTTTTCAAAACAAGGATCTCAAACACCCCTACCTAGGGAGATGAAAGACAACAGCACTTATTTCCCACTCCCATATCTTTCACTTTCTATAAAAGAATGATTCTAAGGAAAGACGTTTGGTAGCAAGTGTCAGTTGTAGTAAGTAGCCGCTTAACCATTGTTTTCTTAAAGAAAGATGCTTGTGGCCACAGAGAACAGAAGCCACTTCAGGAACAGCAGTTATTTTTAAAAAGGATTCTAAGAGTAGAAAAAATGATTCAGCTGTTCAGTACAGATCAAAAAGAGATAATTTTGTAGAAGAGAATATCAAGACAGGAAAGGAATCAAAGCAAATTATTTTTGCACTCAGTATGAAAAGATTTGTACTCCCAGAAATGCTTTTTTCTTTCCAATCTCATGAACTGCATTATTTAAAAAGCAGCAATTATTCATGTTCATAGAATTAGTCTATACATTGTATTTTGTGACATTCCTCACAAACTTGCCTTTTTCCTTGGATGTCAGGTTATAAAATACTTTTTTCTTGTAGCTGTGTTACCCCTAGCGCTAGCTACTGATTCAGCTCTCTCCTTCCATTCCTTGTGACCTGGTGAATAACTCCATGTTTATTCTATTGGCTTTTTTTGTGTGATTCTAAAGCTTTAACAATTATCTTTCTCAGCCTTCATTTTCCCAGACTTGACTTCATTATTCACTAGACACAGACCCTTCTTTTAGATTTCTCCTAGTAGTATGGATCTCTCTTCTGGCACTTATGTTTTATTTCTGCACTAATGCAACTTCTACAGCTATATGAAAAAATTTTGAAAGCAAGTACTGATTCTACCCTTCACATCCTAGACAGTGCTTTTTACATACTGTCAATCAGTTCATATTAATCAAATTACATATATATAACAGTGTCTTCATCCACTTCATCAGTTTAATGGCCGATAGGAAAAAATGAACCCCTTCAATTCCTCAATATGACCTGGAGTGGCTATGAATTTGGAGAAAAGATAAATACAAAAGATGAAAATAAGTTGTGTGATCTGGTAAGTTGGTTCCCATATTTGGGCTTTGTTCTAAGCATATTGTTAATTTCTATTACTGAAACACCAAAGCACAATGAAGAGCTTTCACTTTCTGAGGTTCAAAGAAATCAAAGATTTTGTTCAGATAATTAGCCTTAATCAAAACCAACTCAGGAAAGGAAGTTCAAGGAGCACAGTACCTGGAGTTTTGTTTCCTGCCTAGAGCCGACTCGTTGACAGAAGACTTCAAAGAAATCAGCTTCTCCCTCTTCCACCCACAGCAAAGTCACTGAGGTCTGGGTTTTATTCACTGCAAAGAGCGATTTTGGAGGAGCTGGTTCTGAGCAAAGAAAACATTTTTTGAATTTGATTTTAACATATTCTTTCTTCACTAGTCAGCAGGAGAAAATAGGCAAAAAAAATCCAAACACAGGCGGTTCAGAGCACCTACAGATTTTACATCGTCATCTACATTTGAAAGCAGAATATTTTGCCTTCTCTCCCTCCCTTCCATTTTATACTTCTCTTTTTGGAACACTTCTGTTTTCCACTTCAGCTTTATTATAGACATAAGCTATTAATAGTTTTTGTGTCATCTGCACTGGAGTTAGCATTGTCCTGACAGCACAGAACTTTCTGCATCAGAAACAGAAATCTGTACTTAAAAGACTGAGAAAAAACGAAAGTGGTGCACTTAGTCAGAAGCCTGTCTTCCTCACCCTGCAAAACTATCTGGAACAATTTAGTCGGCAGAATGGCTTCTTGAAAATTTGTCAAAATTAAGAGAGTAAAATTTAAACGGATGCTATGGTTTTTATTAGAAAAGGGGGATTGATGGAAGGAGATGGGAAGATTAATAGAACGTCAGAGGACTAATTTATCTTATTCTCTGAGACAGTTAATCTTGGGTATAAATTAGTCCATTAGTCAAGTAAACCATGCTGTCTGAACGCAGTCATACGCATTTCCAGTAATGAGTCACTGGATTTACTGGCTTGAGACCACACCCTTGCGTGTCCCTTAGCTCTAGACAGTGGTCTGCTCTCTTGTTCCCCTACTCCTGAATGTCTCCTGGTCCCCTCCCTGTGCCCTGCCCCCTGGGTGTCACCTTCCCCTCCAGTTGCTCCAGGGCACAAAGTTCTTCGCCTGAATCCAGGGGTTCCGTGCTTGCTGTCAGACCTCCTTGACGTTGCTTGTTTGGACATATCATATCTTGCTATTGGGTTCACTCGCCAACGTGCTGTGCCCACCTGCATGTCCCTGTCATACTACTCCCTACACGGTTTGCTTGTCATTTGGATTTCTTATCATTCGCCCCATGTTCCCATGTCTGCTCCCCACGTTCTGGCATTTAGCAGTGCTTGAAAAAGCCCTGGAGGCCACTTCACTCCTTTGTCAGGTGTGTCTTTTGTTTGGACCTTTGTCCTAGAATACCATCATCACAGCGCTGACAGGAGCCAAAAGTCGCTCAGAATCTGCTTGACGTGATTTACTGCAGGTAACCTAACTGGTGTCCAATGAAAAAGAAGCGTTTTTCTTTCTAGAGGCGACTTGACAAGGCTGGGCAGAAGAGTGGAAAGAGGAAAGATGGGTTAGTCTTGGGCAAATGCAATTCCCATGAGGTGTCAGGACCTCTTTCTCATTTGCACCTGTCCAGACACTGTACTGTCTTGCTTCTCTTCTATTGAAGAGTGTTAATGATCCCCGCAGTTCTCTTCCAATTCCCCGTTCCTTGTAATTCCCACTGCTAATAGGATCATGGGTCAGAGAATGAGTCCTCCAGGGAGTCTGGCTTGTGTACAGCTTGGATCTTTGGAAGCAAGTGTGGGGTTGTCTGGGGGAGAGGTGGATGATTTGGTAGGCCGAACCTGGGATATTTCTCTTTTAAAAACACACATGACACAGCAGCAGACTCATAGAACCCAGAATGGACTAACAGTTACCAAAGAGAAAGGGACTGGGGAGGGTGGGTGGGAAGGGAGGGATAAGGGGGGAAATGGGGTATTACAATTAGCACACATAATGTAGGGTGAGGGGGACATGGGAAAGGCAGTATATACAGAGAAGACAAGTACTGATTCCATAGCATCTTACTACGCTGATGGACAGTGACTGTAATGGGGTGTGTGGGGGGGACTTGATAATGGGGGAGTCTAGTAACCACAATGTTGTTCAAGTAATTGTACATTAATGATATTAAAATAGAAAAATTAAAAAAAGAACACACATGACAAAATTGCTCTGTGGAGTGAGTCTCTTGGACTGATCAGCGTTCTTAGGACACCTATATATTTTTTTCCTGATGGGCAGAGAAAACCCGTTTAGCTATCCAATGTGAACATTATCCATATCCTACTCTCCAGACCTGACTTTTTACACATGTATTTCCAATCACCTCCCATCTCTGCTTACTGAAATATTTTACCATCACCTCAAACCCCATATGGTCAAAATAGAGCCTGGAGTCCTCATTTTCCCACAAGTCAATTCTACTTTCCAACTAGTTCTCACTCTCTCACAAGCAACACCATTCTTTCAGTTGTCTAAGCTGACAATTGTGGCTCTCCTGCCTCTCAGGGCCAGAGAGCATATCGTTTAGTAATTCTTATCTCTTCCTTCTGTCTATTCTTTTTATTATATTGTATGTCCAGCCTTATGTCATTCCTTTACATTTACGTGCATTCCTCTACATTCCATACACTGAACAATCATTCCTTTTTCCTGCCTCTAATTGTGGTTTCTCATTTTGTCAGTGAGGACTTACACACCTAAAAACACCACTTTGCTCACATTAAATCCCATCTGTGCAATGATCTGTTGTGAATGAATGTCTATTGTGTCAAACCCAAATCTGCCAAGTTTGGAAGATCCCACTTACACTGGTCACATGCCACCCATCTGGCTTCACCACCATCCTTCCCGCACAGACAGGCTTCCCCTGGCAGAGCCGGTCTCTCACTGACCCTCATATGGGCAGTGCTCTGTCTCGGCTCACGGACTTCCCCTCAGTGTACTCTTTCTTCTACTCTGATCGTCGTAAGGTCAGGAAAAAGTCTTATCTCCTGATAACTCCCTCTTGATCTTTCCCTTCTCTGTCTCCTAATTGATCCATGTAAATAAAGTCCTGATTCTTTATTACTAGGTCCTACTAGATTTTTTAAGAACAGAGGACATGTGTTATAATTTATTTCTTCTTCACCTTGAACTAGCCACCTGTAAGTACTCAATACATCTTACCTACTGACTGATTTAAACATAAGATCATTAGCCAGAGGTTTTAGAATTTAAGCATCAGCCAAGACCAGACATACTGGAGTGGAATTTTGATGTTCTCTGCTTTCTTCTAGTGTTCATGTTGGTAAAATCATCAGTTTCCAGTGGCAGAGTCAGAGACTGTCGTGAATTAGAAGTGTTCTCAGTGGTCCAAGAGATATAACTTGAATGCTAGAGAAGGGTTTCTTTTGGTCTGGCTCAGAATGTGGCCCTGGGAGGTAAGTAGGATCCTCAGAAAAATTTCCGAAGGGTCTGGGATCTCAGCCAAGTAACTGGTTTTTCTTCTCAGATGGCATATGGGGCAATATATTATTCCCAGGTCACGTACCCATTATAGCTGCATCCTTTTCAGAAAGACCTGTGCATATCAGCTCTGTAGGTCAAAGAGTAATACGGAAATCATCTGCTTAAGGACTGTTTAGGAATTTTTTTATAGGTTTATTCCCCTAGATATACTGGGAGAAATTTTACTGTGCTATTCTAAAGGAAATAGAGTTATGGCAATATTTCATAAGTGGAGTTGTAATTGGATTGGGAGAGCTTATAATTAAATTTCACTACTTAAGACAACATCTGCCCCAGGGAATATATTGAAGTGTTAGGATTTTACTGCCCAACACAGTAGTTATTAGCCACATGTAGCTACTGAGTCCAAGTTAAGAGATACTGCAAGAGAAAAATACAGACTGGATTTGGAAGATGTAGCAGGAAAAAAGAATAAAAATATCCCTTTAACAATCTTTATATTGGTTACATGTTAGAATAATACTACTTTGAATATATTCATTTAAATAAGGTATATTAAGCTCAATTCCACCTATTTCTTTTTTGCTATTTTGTTATGTGGCTGCTAAAAAAATTTAAAATTACATATGTAGCTCTCATTATAATTCAGTTGTATAGTCTTGGGTTACAGCATTCCTTCCTGTTTGAAAATTCTTGGCAGATGCTTGTTGGAGAGCCCGCTTCTACTGTCTATTCCCTCTCGTGGGAAGGCAAGGTGAGCTAGCTTCACAGCCTAACATGGCTTAGATGATTCACATTTCCAGTTCTCAGGCTTAGGACTAAACGTGGGTAATGGCTAATACTGTTTAGGGCATTTCATATGATAGGGAGTACAGTGACATGCAAAAGCCTTTTGATTGGTCTCTGTCCCTGTTATGGGATGAATTTTATTCCCCCAAAAACCTATGTAGAAGTCCTAACCCCCATTACCTAAATAATGTGACTGTAACTGGAGATTGGGGCTTTCAAGAGGTGATAAAGTTTAAAAGAGGACATTAGGCTAGGCCTTAATCCAATCCGACTGCTGTCCTTAATAGAAGAGGATATTTGGGCAAGCAAAGAGACACCAAGGGTGAATGACTGTTTGAGGCCACAGCTGGAAGGCAGATGTCTGTAAGCCAGGGAGAGAGACCTCAGGAAAAACCAAACCTGCCTGTCAACACCTTGACCTTGGACTTCCAGCCTCCAGAACCGTGAGAAAGAAAGTTTCTGTTGGTTAAACTGTCCAATCTGTGGTATTTTGTTATGGCAGCCAAGCAAACTAATACAGTCTCTTATTATTCAAAATATCAGTTACAGTCTAGCTCATGAAGGGGAGGGGTAGGAAGACCTTGGTGTTGTTATGAAGAGTAAATGAGCTCGAAGGTGATGTACACAAAAACACTTTACGTAATGTAAAGAGCCATGTGGGTATTTGTTACAGAACATCTCCTGGTTATCACTGTCTATCTCTCAAAAAGAACATTTTAAATCTTCAAAATTGTCCTGCTCCATAATGTCAGATTTCTTTTCGTTACCATACTTTCAGAGTCCATGATATTTGACATAGAAACTGATGGATATGGGGAAAGGAGACAGACATACTATTTTTACAAAAGGAGGTGTCCGTGCAGATGTAGATGCTTTCAATGCTGAGAGTTTTCTGACTCTGTTGGGGGTGTACTCAGCTCTTTGACCCTCTCCTGTTCCTTCTCTTGTCTCCCCGTCAATGCCTCTCCTGTTTGAATTGGGAATCCAACCTAATTTGATGAGGAAATCGAGCACCATGCCCAGAACCTGGGC